GACTTTCTGACAAGCAAAGTTAATGGAGAAGTGAAATTCACTTAACAACAGTGTTACTAACTTAACAACTACAGTGATTCACTTAACAACTGCAGCAAGAAAAATCATAAAATGGGGCAAAACTCACTTAACAAATTTCTCACTTAGCAACATAAATTTGGGGCTCAGTTATGGTTGGAAGTCAAGAACTACCGTGTTTCCCCGAAAATACGACATGTCCTGAAAATAAGGCCATGCCATATTTTTCAGGTGGGCAAAAATATAAACCCTCCCCCCCCCAAATAAGCCCCCTGGACACCTCCCCTTCCAGCTAGGCAGAGTGCCACTCACCAACCTAAGTGATATCCTGAAGGAGCCAAGCCGCAGGAGCCAGAGGGGGGGTCAAAGGCGCTCACATTGCTTGGTACCTTCGGGATACTGCTAGGTTGGTAAGTGGTGCTGTGCCCAGCTGGAGAGGGGGTTTGCTGGGAGGCTGCTCTTTTGCGAGTGGGCTCCCAAAGAGCTGGGCACAGCCTCAGGGTCGAACAGCTGTGTTGCCCTGTCACAGCAGTGCAACACAGCAGCCTGGGAGGCACACAACAGGCTGGGAGAAAGCGAGCTGGGGATAGAACAGGCACTCTCGCGTAAACCCCCTCTCCAGCTGGGCAGAGCACCATTCACTGACCTAGAGGTATCCTGAAGGCGCCAAACTGTGTGGTGATCTGCCCGCCCCCCAGCTCCTGTGGCTTGGCACATTCAGGATAACCCTAGGTCAGTGCATTGCGCTCTGCCCGGCTGGAAAGGGGGGGTACCCGAGTGCCTGTTCTGCCCCCAGCTTGCATGCCTCCCAGCCTCACCATGCTCTGGCCCAACTCTCCCTGTAGAACCAGGGCCAAGTATAACTTCTTCTCCGGCTTCCAAACTTCAGAGATCGGCTGCTGAGTCTTTCGGCAACAGCCGCTCTGGGAGTGCTCTCTATGGTTGTGGGCCAGCTGCCGGAAGACTCTCCACCAGAGTTTGGAATCCGGAGAAGCTATGCTCGGAGCGCGGCGGCGGTGCCCTGGTCCTGCAGGGAGACCTGGGCCAGGGCATGGTGAGGCTGGGAGGCATACAAGCTGGGGCGCAACAGGTGCTCGCGTAACCCCCCTCTCCAGCAGGACAGAGCATCACGCACTGACCTAGGGGTATCCCGAATGTGCCAAGCTGCAGGAGCTGGAGGGCAGGCAGAGCGCCACATGGCTTGGCGCCTTCAGGATACCCCTAGGTCAGTGAATGGCGCTCTGCCCAGCTGGAGAGGGGGGTTGCTGGGCGGCTGCTCGTGAGCGTAGTCACCTCATGGCTACTGTGTTGAGCTGCTGTGACAGCGCAACACAGCTGTTCGCCCCTGAGGCTGTGCCTGGCTCTTCGGGAGCCTACTCGCAAGAGAGCAGCCGCCCTGCAACCCCAAAACAATAATTCCCCCCCAATAATAAGCCCCAATCCATATTTTGGGGATCAAAAGAAAATAACACCCTGTCTTATTTTTGGGTAAATAAAACCCTTTGCAAACACTGAAAAAATGCAAGTTGCCCTTCAGATTTAAACTTTGCAGAAAAGAAAACCAAACAAGGTCAAGATTGGTATCCAACTTAATAAACAGCCCATGAAAATGAGTAAAGTAACTTGGAAAGACAGCATGTGTTATCCAAGCCAATGTGCAGTCATGCATGTATACAATATAAACAATTATCCTCCCTTCTGAAGGGCATGTACCCTGTTTCCCTGAAAATAAGCCCTCCCCAGATAATAAACCCAATTGGGCTTTTGAGCGTAGGCGCTAAAATAAGCCCTCCCCCAAAATAAGCCTTCCCAAAAAAAATATTGTAACATAACAATAGCCAAGAAGTGACCATGCTCGCCACCTCCTGCACCTCAAAAATAATGAGACCTCCCCAAAAATAAGCCCAAGTGCTTATTTTAGGGGTCAAAAGAAAATAATACTCTGTCTTATTTTCGGGGAAATACAGTAACAGTGAGAAACAATAACAATAAAACAATAAGAGTGTCTTCAATGGTACAACCTGTTCTTAGTACAAAAGTTGAATAATACTAATCCAAATATTCCCAAATAAATAAAGAATTCTTAGGATATATAAGGTAAATCTGAAATTTAGAATTTATAAGCATAACAATTCTAAATGATTTGTAAGACACATTCCTTGCTTATCTGATATTAAAGCAAGGGAGCAAGAGAGAACATACATAACCTAATTCTTCAATTGCCACGCAGTTCTAATTACTCATCTTAATAGTCTAAAGCAGTGAGTCTCACCCTTCCTAATGCCGCAACCCTTTAATACATTTCATGTTGTGGTGACCCCCAACCATGAAATTATTTTATGTTTTCCGTATTTTTTCAAAAATATGTGTTTTAGGCCACCCTTGTGAAAGGGTCGTTCAACCCTCTAAGGAGTCGCAACCCACAGGTTGAGAACCCCTGATCTAAGACAATGATTGTAAACGTTTTTGTCCTCATGTGCTGAAATTATGTGGCATACGCCCCACACCCACAATCAATGTGCCCCGCCCACCAATATATGCTACTCCCTCCCCGCATGAAAATGTGACCATCCCCTCCGCGCATGCACGCAGGGGAGGGGACTTTTCACCCTCCCCAGACTCCAGAGGCTTTCCTTGAGCCTCTGGGAGTGCGAAAATGGCCTCCCCTGGCCTCCCATTTCCAAACTTCCGGAAGTCCTTTCTTTCACCCTCCCCGCACTCCTCCCATGCATGAGCGTAGGTCTCCCGCATTCACACACTGAAAAATCAGCTGACTGCCAGGTGGCACATGCACGGGGGAGCTACACTGGGCAACGGCTCATGTGCCCACACAGAGGGCTCCATGTGCCACCTGTGGCATATGTACAATAGGTTCGCCATCACGTGTCTAAGGTTCTAGTATTGCTCCCCCCCCCAAAAAAAAAACCTGAAATGCCCTTGCCTTTCCTTCTTGTTGCTAAAACTAGGATTAGGAATGATACTATACAAATACCACAGAGTTAGGTGTCATGTAGTTTATTGAGTTCAAAGCCCTCTTCAGTTCAGGCAACAAATAACAAAGGCATCAGGCCGCCTTTTGTTTTTTTTAAGTTATAGACTTTTTCCTGTGAGATGCTTTTTCAAACACTTTGTCAGGCTAAGTGCCCAAGAATAATGAAGACAATTCATACACTTCAGTTCTTTATTTGCTTATATCCAATAGACAGCCTCTTGACAAATTATAATCTCTTATATTTTATAATCTCAATTTTCGCTCTAATGGATACATTCTGGGAGATTCTAGGGAGTGGCTTTCTTTATTCGCCTCCTATTAAAACAGGTTGGGCTGCCTCGTTTTGCTCCCCTTTCTGAAAAGTGCTCCTTCCTGGGAAATTGCTGCTTCACTCCCCTTCCATAGGCACCATCTCTCATATACTTCAAATGTGCTTTAATATGCCTATATGTGTCTTTCTGAATGATGATATACAATTTCAGCCTCTCTTCCAATGACTCATCCTCACTATCCTAATTTGCATCTTTTCCAGATAGATTTTTTTCAATTGGACACATGACTTCCATGTTTCAGAACTACAGTATATTTCAATTGATAACAAAACAACATAAATTGCTTTTCCTCCTCCTTTGACTACACAATCTAGCCTGAGAGGTAGGTTGGGCTGAATTATAATGCTACATTTGTACAAAAATTAACCACTTTCTGAGTTCAGACAACACATGAAGCTACAAAAATATTATCTAACTTAACACTAATTAAGCCCAGCAAGTTTTGTAAACGCATCATTTTATGTCTTTACATGACTTGATTACATGTGTTGTGTGATAGGCCCAAAGTCACTCAGTGAGTTTCCATGGTTAAAGGTCAAACTGAGATTTTAACTCTTTCTAAGCCAATATTTTAAATGTTACACGACACTAACTCCTTGGTTGGGCAGATACAGCAGGCATAAGAAATCTCCATCCTGCCATGTTGGCCCTCTAGCCCTTAAGACCTTACTTGAGGCAAAAACCCAAATCGTCCAACATCACAACAGTATCACTTGTCAAACTACCTAGAACTTTTCTTGGCTGTTCCATGCTTTGTCTGCAGTCAGAATCCTGGAACATTTAAAACAGTGATAACACTCCAAATACCCACAAATTCTCTAACAAAGTAAAGTATCTAGGGCAGTTAAAGATGTTCTATTCAGAGAAAAGCAAGAACTAGGAGAATAAAGAAGTTCACAAAACTTTGTACTTTGGCAAGATCCTCTCATGTCCCAAAAGTACATTTCTTCCTATTAAAGTTTGTACAATGTTTATTTCTTATTGCAATTTCTTGTTTTTAGAAAGACCAACTGAGTACTTTTAGTGTGTATAAAGGGAGAGCAGTGAAAATCAGCCAATGTTTGTCCAATATTAATCTACCACCAATCAAAATATATTACCGTCTGGCTTTTTTTTACTATTATTGATATAATGCTTTTATTTCCTTGTCTTTGACCATAATAAAGATTGATTGATTGATTTTTCCTGGCAATGAAAAGAACCTATTCTTAGGCTTATGTTCCAATCCATGTTATTGTACCCAGCAGCATACACAATGAAAATATTCCTGCAGTTCCTTTTCTGTGGGGAAAAACACCTGATACAACTACAGCTGGTAACATTATCAGCAAATCATGTTTTATGGTTTTTAAGAAACATTTAAATAATATTCCAAGAGAAATCTATATAACTCACCAGTTGCCATAACAACTAGATTATCTCTTCTTTCTTGCAAAACTGAGGAGATCACTTTCCACTGGACCCTTGAAATTAAAGAAAAAAACTATAATAAAAATGTTCCATTTCAGCTGTAACACCTGACAAAAGCTGAATCCCATAACAGGAGACTGCAAATAGAGCTGCTTCTTTTAGTGATCAATTGTTTATCTCCTTTTTCACATACAGGTAATCCGCACCTAATGGCCTTTCATTCACTGACTGTTCAAAGTTTCAATGGTGTTAAAAAAATAACACCACTGACTTTACCTCAGTCATGTGATCACCACTGCAGTCAGTATGTGTTGTTATATGCCTGACTGTTTTTCTCTCTCTTTTCCCTTGCAGAACAGAGAGATTGGAGAGAAAAGGATTGCAAGAAAATAAGTGGTTTTCTCACATCAAAAACAAAGCAATCAGGCCAGCATCATGTTACACAAAGACCTTACAGAGCTCTCTCTGTAAAATCTAAAAGAAGTCTGAAAGCTTTTGAAATCTCCACATAGTGGAGAGATTAAAAAAAGGTTTTAAAACAGTACTTTTTTTAAGCTGCAGTATGATCACATTGCTTTCAATGGGTACAAGATAATAAGCAGGTACTTGAGCATTCCAAAGGACTGGAAATAGTCAGGAAGCAAACAAAGATCAAAAATATGAAACTGAATACTCTTGTCTGTTTCCAGCAGGAAAGCACTGTTGGGTCATGTGATTTCCCACTAAGTGACTGCTTTGCTTAGCAGTTCCAATTAAGCGAGGACTACTGTATATGCCATGCAATTTGTGCATCTGCTGAAGACTCAACATCTTTGAGGCAAAATCCCCATATATTTTATCTAGAAGAAAGTCATGTTTATTATTTTCTCTTTAAAAAGAGAGGTACATCTTAAATAAGCTGAGAATAAACTGTGAAAGGAGGCAAATACGATTTTCTGGTTTTTCTTTATGAAAGAGATTATCTTAAATTCACAGTTTTCTTCTTTTTGGAACAGTCTTTTAGCCTTTTTTTTAAAAAAAAAAATACAACTTACGGTTTAAAACTTGAGTGACCAAAATACATCTTGAGACAAGCAATTTGTTCACTGCTAGGTTTAGATAAGCTGGAATCTTTGGAGAAAAAAACAAAAATATTGAGATAGAGAAAATACAAAAAAAGATAGCTATAAAAAAAATTCAATTTTAAGATTTAAAATTTTAAAATGTAACTTAATTTTTTAAATGTTATGCATACTAAAAAACTAGCAAAGTGTAGCTTTCTATTATAGGGATATCATTTAAGAATACTAGATACTTATAATACAAGAATATGTTAAAAACTTTTAAATTCTTTCCTCAGAAAGTCAACATACATGCTTAATTTTCCCACTGATAACATGAAATTTAAAACTGATTTAACTTGAGAGCATCAAGCCCATAACTTGCTTAAAAATTTATGAACAAGCTCAGAACTGAAGAAGCTTCTTGGATGAGAAGCGAAACATTTTCAAAGAAAAAGTAGAAAGTCCACTTGCCCCTTGAAAAAAAGCATCTTTGGGACATACTTGAGAGGATCTTTAGAATATACTTATCCATCTACCCATCTATGTGAACATAAATGTAGATACTCTAGTGTCCCAATATGGAAATTAGGATCACAATGTAATATTTACCCCAACTTTCCTCTTCCTCCTCAATGCCCTCTTCTCCTTCATCCTCGGCAACATGGTTATTTTGCTTTTCTAAACTTCCCAGGTTAGAATTCAACTGGCTCTTGTCTGTGCTTTCTAAAGACTGGAGCTGAGAAAATAAGTTAACATACTTTTCATCTTCTAATTTAAAAGAATAAAGGCTTGACAAAAGTTCTTACTTTTAATACAGAGGGATCTTAACTACATTAGCCATTCAAAATAAAGTTACTTTATGAATATAATTTGTAAAGATTTCATAGCTTCCATAGGTTTTCCATATTACTGTTAAAAGCACGGGAGAATAAGAGGCAAAGCTACACAGTAATCCCCCTTGATTGAAAGGCATTGCATGTCAGGAATTTATTAAAAACAGTATTAATACTTATTTTTATTAAATTTCATGAACAGTGTTAGCTTATTATAATTTGCCCAGTTTTAATTTCTAACATGCAAGTCTGCTCCCCTGTTTTCCTCTCAGGCGTTCTCTGCTGTGGCCCCTGCCTTATGCAACATTCTACCTTCCGAAGTGAGGTCAGCCCCATCCCTTCAATATTCTGTAAACCCCTTAATACCTGGTTAGGATGCTTTCATTGTTGATTGTCAGGGTTAATGTCAGGGTTCCAAATAGCATCCAAAAGTAAATCAGAGTCCAAGGCAAAGTACTGCTCAAAGTTCCAATTTATTAAGAGAGTCATATTGGCACATCTGGGAAAACCTGAATCTAAAAGCTTCCCGGTTTTCCATACCTAGTTGAAAGTTCAAGATCTTGCCCCCACACCCACAAGTCGATCACATGGTCCAATCTCCCACTGCCATGCTGGCAGTTCCACCCATCCAATTCCGGTCAGGTGCAGAGGTGCAGAGACAAAGGATGACCTTCGCTTTCTATTAAGAATTTTGTTGTGGCTACATAATATGTGACCCCTTACAATCCTGATAAACTGTCTCATTCCAATGGGATTGGCCCACCCCTCTCATGCTAGCAGATGGGGCATGCTACAGACTGTATCAGACAAGGAATTCAAGAGCCTTTTCTGCTGTGGTTTCCACCCTCTGGAACATTTTTGGCCTATTGGAAGGGCTTGAAAAGCTGGTTCTGCTAATTGGCTTGATGGGGGCAGGTCATACCAGAGGTAGTTAATGGACTAATACTCCACCTCCATCCTGTAAGAATTTTCCCTCCCTTTCCAACTTTGATTATTTTTAATCTATGTTAATATTAGTATGTATTACTTTAAATTTCCTTGTGTTTACTTGGTTGTAAGCTGCCTATACGAGATGGGTGCCATATAACCTTAATATAAAATAAATACAATTCATTGTTTTATTTCATTGTTGTATGCCACCCAGAGTCATTTTTGTGAGATTGTTGACTTTATAAATTTGATAAATAAATAAATAGCATGAAGGAAGGAAAGACGAAAGGAAGGAAGAAAGGAAGTTACCTTAAGCATTTCCATTTCAAGTTCATAATCACTTTCCATAGTGGCACCATGCTCATCTTCTATAGATTGTAAATCCTAAACAGAACAGTTCAAATTGTTTTTTTCTTTTGTTTTAATTCCAATGCTTTGTTCCCTAGCTTTTCAGTTGAAAAAGAAACCTAAGAAGTAATCTGATCTTACCTTCTAACCTATATAAACCATTAACATTTTATGCATAATAAAAATGTATAAAATTGTATTAATATACATTTAAAATGTATAAAACTACATTAATATTTGTGGGCCAAGAAAGTTTCTGTTTTGCAGATGAGCAATTTAAGAAACATAGGATTACAAAGCCCATCTGATCCTAGCACAACATTCTTAGGAAAAGAGAACCAACTTGTTTCTTCACTGTTAGAACAAACTGACTTTCTCTCAACTTTTATCAATATCATTTGGCAATCCTAACCTACAATATTTTTTTAGCTGTTATATCACAGCCAAAATCTGGAAAAAGACCAGATGGTTGATCAATTAAACATCGCATTTTTCTCAAAGGGCAATTATCTATATTTACCTTAGGCATATAAGCTGCTTCAAGTCGCTTTTCTTCCTCAGCTTGACGTTCCATCATTTGAAGTTCATATTCAGTTATGTCCAGTGACATTAAGAATTCTTTTTCTGTAGATTTTTTAAAGATTGTGTCTGAAGCATCCACTGTATGCTCTTTCTTATCAAGTTCTTCTTCATTTCTTATATCAGAGTTTTGAACACCACCTGTTTTGTCATCAATATCATGATCTGACTTACAAATGGTCTTGGAAGTCAATTTAGATCCTCCATCGGCAGCCTCTTCCAGCTCCATTTGGCAATTAGATTTAATAAGTAATATGTCCCTTAGAGCTTTAATATTTTTTGAAATATCAGCCAATATTTCTGTTGCACTGTGAAAAAAAATATGGAATAGTTTTTTTTTATTTACACCCCAACTTTCTATTTATATAAATACCCAAGATACCTTACAAAGTTCAAAAGAATGCAACAGTTAAAAATTAAAATTAGTGGAATTAAGTCTAAAATAATAAAAAAATAATTTGATGAACAAGGTATGTCTTTATAATAACTTCTTTTTGTCTATTCTAAAGCACTGTCCAATTGACTTCACTGGATGACCTCTAGTTCATTCATCCTTTTGAAAGAAAAAAAATCTTCCCCCTGTCCACTTTCTCCATTCAATACATGATACTATACTGTACATTCATATCCATTAGGTTGTCTTTTCTAAGCAGAGGCTCAAAGCTCTTCACATTTCCTAATCACATTTATTTACCCTCTTTCATTTTCCCAATTTGATTATGTTCTTTTTCCCATGCAGAACCCAGAATTGAACTCTGCATTCCAGATAAAGACATACATACAGATTTGTATAAGAATATTATAACATTGGAGTTTTCATCTCAACACATTTCCTAATTATTCCTAATGCAAAATTGTCTTCTTCACAGCTGCCATAATCCAAGTTGTTATTTCCACTGAACCCAAGATCCCTCTTTTGAGTAGTTTCAGATGGTTCAGATCTCACCAGTGTATATGTGAAATTGGGGCAGGAGTTGTCTTAATATGCACCGTTTCATTCTTACTTAAACTGAACACCAATTATTTGCTTGTCCATTCACCTGGTTTAAAACAATAATATAAATTGTTTTATCCCAGGAGATTTGGTGAAAGCCTTTTTGGGTCCGTAATAATCTCCATCTCAGTCACTTTGGTTCAAGAGAATGGACTTGCTCGCTGAAAGTCAAGAGTTCATACTATTACTTCACTCACCTAAATCTTAGTCTTGAAAGCAGGAGATCACACTAAACTCCTATTCTTGTTTACTTTGTTTGCTGGTCTGTTGTAGCCTCAAATCAGAAAGCAAGCAAATGCACCAAATCTTCACAAACTGACTACTTCCCCCAAATAAATACCACTGTTCCCATTCACTCTCTGTCCACAAGTTTCAACTAATTGTAAAAGAGTAAAACTGGGGAACTAGGAGTTTAAGAGAATTGGGTGGCTGGAAGTACAATAGAATATAGTATGAAACAAGGTTTATACATTTATTTATTATTTCTATAGCCGCCCATTTCACTGGGTAACTTTGGGGTGGTTTACAATTCTAAAACAATACTGTAAAATGTTTCAAACCAATAAAAGCAGTACAAATCAGACATACAGCAAAGTAATTATCCAATTTAACAGTAAAACCAAGAGATGGGGCCCTTAACATATTCAGAGTCCAAGCCTCAAGTAAAGTTTCTTCTTCAAGCAAAGGAGTCACTATAAACATGGAAACTCTGCACACTATTCTTTCAGTTATACCCACTGAAATAATAGTTCTTTTACTGCAAGAATCTACGGAATTAAATATTCATTTGAACCAATAGATTAAAATAAACAGTATCGAAACCTTTGAATATGTGTGGATTGGTGAAAAGTAGCAGGAACACAATGAGCCAAATCTAGCACCTCCTTGGACAAAGATGTCAATTCATTTTTAATTTCACTCGGCAGCAACATTCCACCTGTTTAAAAAAGGCATAACATTTTATTAACTACTAATTCATCTGGGTTTTAAATATTGAAAAAGGCACTTACAATTAAGGAATTAAATCAGTCTACTTGTCTTTAAATTTTGATCTGGCTCCCTAAATTCAAGTTAATTAATGGATTGTTAAATGGGGTTATACAACCTTTGGATTTTTAGGGAGGGATTTCTATCATATTTTCTGCAGATGCTAATTACCGTTGAACTCTATTCACCAACATCTGCTCTGTTTATTCATTAGTACAGTCATAATGAGAGCCAGTTTGAAGTAGTGGTTAGGGCATCAGGCTAGAAACCAAGAGATTGAGTTCTAGGACCACCACGGGCAGGAAGCCAGTTGGCTGACCTTTGGCTAGTCACTTTCTCTCAGGTCTAAGAAGGAAACAATGGCAAATCACATCTACAAAACCTTGCCAAGAAAACTGCAGGGACTTGTCCAGGCGGTCTTCGAGAATTGGATACTATTGAATGGAAGACACACACACCCCCACCAAAAAATAGTCATAATAACCTCTATGATGGATTACTGCATTATTCAGAAAATCCAGTTAGCCAGGATCATATAAAACAAGATGCAAAACACTGTATTATCCACCGGAGGCCAAATTTAAAAATGTATGTAGTCCCAAAGTCATAAGAGAATCACATCTTGAAAGATATATGCATTCTCACATGCCTGTAACATTTTTGCCATATTTTAATTTTCAAAAAGCTTATTTTCGTCATGTGAATCAATTCATGATAGGATGAAGAATTATGGTTATGGACTGTAATCTACCCTATCTAGGGCTGAGAAAGAATGACTGACCCAATGTTAACTAGCCAATTTCTAATGCTTAAGAGGGAAAGAATCTGAATTTCTCCACTCCTGGTTCAGCACAATAACTTCTATATAATGTGGCCTTCAGATTTGTGCAATGATGCCTCTGTAGGAAAAAGTTGCTGTTCCCTGATTTAGCTCACCTGTTTTTAAACAAATATGCATCTGCTTATCATTCCTCAAATTTATTAGGTTTTGGTAAATAAGGAAGCCAGCCTATAAAAACAAGAAAAGAAAAATAATTATTTTTAATGTAGAGACAAGAACATCTTCCTCTCAACTTAAAAAATTTAAACCAATCTTTTCTAATCTCAGATCTGTTGTGACCTCAGTTCCCAAATTCCCAACAAAAATGGTTGAAATCTGGGAGCTATAGTCCCAACACTTCAGCAGTGTACCAAATTGGGGGATCTAAGGTCATCAATCTTGATTATTTCGAAGGATGACAACACATCCTCAAAGCTATAAACACAGAAAAAAATAATAATACCTATACACAGTGGAGAATCAGTATAAAATGGCACAAACATGGGCTTTCTAGGAAAGGCATGGCAAACTGGAGATATCTCTGCAAATGTAGAGCCACGACTACTGCAAAGATCAAGGAACTGGTAAATAGACCAGTTCCTTGGAACCTCTCTGGATAAGAAGAGGATGGGAGATCACCTACATGTGCTTGGGATGACTGTTCCTCATAGGTTTAAGAAGGTGACACCAGAAGGTTTAAAAAAGTGACACCAAAAGATGACAAGACTACCCATCTTGCCTTCAATCCTGAATGAAAGAAAATTTTAATCATAAAAAATTAAAGAATTTGAAATAAAGAACAAAAAACTAAATAATATTTTAAACTTAAAAAGCTGTAAACAGTGGCATTTTGTCTAATAGAAATTAAATTACAGCAGCCATTGCCTATATCACAATCTACCTTCGTTCATGTGTTATAATTAAACCCCAAACTCTATTTCATTTGATCCAAAATAAGCAAGCCTGGATCTTAAAAAGTTTTTCTTTTACTGGTAACTATACATTACTGGTTCATACAGATTCTGCAATTATTTGCATAGTAAATATGGAAAACTAAGCAGATTATACATACAATCAGAGATCTTTTTCCATATCTTAGTTTATAACATTGATATGTAATCAAGTAAATAGGCCAAAGCAAGGTTTTCAAATGTAATGTAATCTAGAAAAATACAAGCTGCTTTGTACATACATATGCATCTGTAGCTGCATACAGCTTTTGCTCCTCAGTTAATGGAAAGCATTCCCAGTTACCACAGCGGACCAATTTGTCTTTCACAAGCTGTTTGTGGAATAGGTGTTTGACAAGGCCGTTTAAACTCCATGTTTCCTTACATTTTAGCTAAAAATGAGATTGCAACAGTAAAGCATAAATTATTTCTGAAACATAGTAATACTGACCCATTTCTAATAAAACTGACAAAATAAGCCCATTTTATTGGTAAATGTAAGTCTATATTCAGAGCACACAATAAATCTTTAAGCCATTTTTTTATCCTGCTAAATGGTTACAGTAACAGCTTCCACAATAAGATTGGCACCAAGAAGTCTATTAGCAGTACCAAACAAAGATCCACCAATATGTGACATACCTCTACATTCGGTAACATATAAATGTAACTTTCAATCATGTTGAGAATTTAAACCTAGGCACATCTTTTTTGAGCTAATGGACATTTAATTTGGTGGAACGTACAAAACACTTACTACAAATTCATATTACCTTACCATTCAAAACTCATAAAACATATTACAGAAATAAAAAATAAGGAATGCAATATTCAGTTTGAAAATTAATCAATGTTGTATATCAGAGTAAAACCAGGAAATCTTACCATGGGATCCCATAATTCTCTATTCTCTTATATTGCTATCATTTTGCAGTGTATTTTTCTGATTAACAAATATTTGCTGCCTTGTGAACTGACTATCTAAATAACTATCTACTTTGAATTCTCCCCATACTCAAGTTTCTAGAATCCAGACTTTCAAATTTCTGGATTCTGTAATCTCCCAGGATTTGAAATGGACACCTAACATTAAAAACCATCATTAAAAAAGCACAACAAAGAATGTCCAAACAAATCAAGGATAATTAGGACTGCAGAATAGAATAGAATAGAATAGAATAGAATAGAATAGAATTCTTTATTGGCCAAGTGTGATTGGACACACAAGAAATTTGTCTTTGGTGCATAAACTCTCAGTGTACATAAAAGAAAAGATACATTCATCATGAATCATAAGGTACAACACTTAATGATAGTCATAGAGTACAAATAAACAATCAAATCATACTAGGAATCAATATAAATCGTAAGGATACAAGCAACAAAGTTATAGTCATACAGTCATAAGAGGGAGGAGATGGGTGATAGGAACGATGAGAAGATTAATAGTAATGGTAATGCAGACTTGGTAAATAGTTTGACAGTGTTGAGGGAATTATTTGTTTATGTGATGGCATTCTGGAAAAAACTGTTCTTGTGTCTAGTTGTTATGGTATGCAGTGCTCTATAGCGTCATTTTGAGGGTAGGAGTTGAAACAATTTATGTCCAGGATGTGAGGGGTCTGTAAGTATTTTCACAGCATTCTTTTTGACGTGAAAAAACAACTGCAACTAGCCTGCTCTTCCATTGACGACCTGTATACTGCATAAGTCAGAAAGAGGGCTGAGAAAATATATACCGACCCTTCACATTCTGGACATAAAACTATTTTCAACTCTTCCCCTCAGAAACTACTATAGGGCACTGCATGCCAAACAACTAGAGACAGAGACAGCTTTTTGTCCTCTGCCACCATTCTGCTGAACACCTAATTCCCACAGCACTGTCTATGGATATACATCCATAAAATAGGGCTGAATTACAATTATCCTGCTCATCTTTACTACTACCTTCTCCTATAGGTATTTTATGATTACATTATTTGTTATTTGTATTCACACTGAGAGCTTATGTGCTGGAGAGAAATTCCTTATGTGTACAATCACACTTTGCCAATTTCCATTTCTGTTATTTCTATTTCTAGTCTTCTAATTACCTTTTCATTAGCAAGGTCAACCAAATCCACAAGATTCTCCAGTTTGATTTCAAAATCTCGCATCAGCTTCCATTTATCCCCTTCAATACCAACTCCAGCTTTTCTAATAGTGTTATCTTCAAGCAACCTTTTCAGTCCCACAGGAAAACCTGAAGGGGATACAATATGAGCACAAAAATTATTTATATAATGAATCAGTGCCTACTCCATATAATAAAAGGCAGTGATTTAGAACCAAAATGGGAGAACCTTACAACTTCTAGGGTAATTTTATATTGATCTTAGCACTCAGGACTTTATATCCCTAACTCACTCTTACTCTCTGGAATCTGCTTTCTCTTCTGCTTTATTTAAATATATATGTGATGTTTGTAAACAACTACTAATTCAGTATTTATTTGTGTGCTGAATAAGTGGTAGTTAGGCCTGGGCCTTAAGAGTTCTGGCCCTCACAATTTTCTTGTTCAGGAAAAGTAATAAAACATGATGGGCACAAGGCACAATAGTAAGACTATTTTCAAGCATATAGACATACCACATCTGTTGACTTCTAAAATTAAATAAAACCAAGGCAGGATATTTCTTGCTATTAAGTAAATTCCAAAGTCAGATTCCCCTCCACTATTTCCCTATGCCCTAGAGGCCTTCCAGGTTCAAGTGGTGTTAATGGCAGAAACCTTGAGTTCAGCAGACAATATTTGTAGTCTGGCAAGTTAAGAGCTTCTTCTGGGTTTCTTTAGCATTATTGAACTTAGGCCACCTCAGCTGTCCCTAAATTATTCAATTTCTATGGTGAAGGGAAACTGACTCCATACTTTTTTCAAACACCATGGGGACAATGTTCCTATACCAAGAAAGCAGAAAACAGCTGAACCTGTTTAAATTCTGTTAAACACGTTCAGCGCTTTTGGGGGCAAAATTTGAACAATGAAGGCTCAAGATTCTTTTTCATAAATATACAGCAGGATACTTCCAGATCAATGGATTTGCAAACTAACATTATTTTTAGTTATTAATCCAATTCATATGGCTACTCATTTATCTAAGAAAACTAGGTGGTTGACAGAGAAAAAAAATCCCATTAAAACTGACGCAATAGATCAAAGCCAATAAAATCTGCATTACCAAGAAATGTTCTGTGTCTGATCTCCCATCACTAACATTACAGCCCCAATTGCTGGGGGAAGAGCTAGCCCTTTACATTCTCTCAAAGGACCAATAGAACTGGTGTGTCTAGTTCTCACCAGTGGAGAGGGGAAGCTGTGACAAAGGGCAGGGACTATGTCAGAGAAGGCATGCTTCTGGAGGTATTATTTCATCAAGGGAACCAAGCAGATCTGATGAGACAGGATGAAACCACCAGAAAAAGGTGATTTCACAAGAAGTCTGATTCAATGTCATGCAGGGCTTTAAATGTGACAACCAGTATCTTTATTATTTATTTATTACATTTGTTTATTTATTAAATTTGTTTGCAGCCCATCTTGCCACAAGGCAACCCTAAACAGCTTACATTAAAAGCAATAAAACCATAAAAATAAATATTTCTAATAACAATAAAATACTAATTGTAATTATAATTAAAAGATGGAAAGAGATGGAGCAGGATGCACAGGAGGGAAGGTGGGATTTTTTTATTGGTCCATCAACCATCTCCAGTGTGAATTCCACATTGTGGTGCCAAGCCATCTGGCAGAGCCAGGTCTTCAGGTTCTTAAGGAAGGTCAGGAGAGTGAGAGAGGATCTCACCGCAGAGGATGACATTTTCCAAAGGGCAGGAGCAACGGCAGAGAAGGCTTTTCTCCTGGATCCCACCAGCTGGAATGTCTTAACCAATAAGGTCCACAGCATGCATGCTCTGCCAGCACAAATAGGGGGCCAGCCCCATTGTGGTGAGACAGTTTCTCAGGTAACATGGATTTATGCCATGCAGGGAGATGATAACACCTTGAATTGCACATAGAAGCAAACTGGCAGACCAATATGGGCCACTCTAGGGCCCCCAAATACTTCCCACGCCGCTGCACTCTACATCAGTTGTAGAGCTTCCAAAAGCTTTTTTTTTCATGCTGAACAGAACAGAATAACTCTTCAAGTGTAGCTTCCATATACAACACATTGCAGTGTCCAGGCATGAAATGACCAGGAGTTTAGTAACTGAGCACAGGGACTCCTGAGCCATTATAAAATAAATATTGGAAAACAAAAGCAAATTAACTGAGAATTTATGCAAAAAGGCATCCTAATATTGATCATGCTTATAGAACAAATAGAAGGGTACTGACTTGTCATAGAAGAGATGTGAAATAAGTAGCACTTGGTTTCAGACTCGCATAACTGGACTAAGGCAACTTTTCCTTCCTTCCCTTTAGCATAAATGGCTGGCCATTCAATGTCAAATCCTAACACAGCTCCAACAGGCAAGGTATTGCTGCAAGATATAAGTGTATCTGAGGCACAGTAATATATTAATGGCACAACACAAAAGAATGGCTTCTTACAAACCATCTCTGTCAAATGAGAAACTAAATTCTAGAACATGCATTCCCTTCATTTCTCTCCTTTTGAACAAAAATGTTCTCTCTCCCTCTTTCTTTTCTTCCACTATCTTTAAAATTACATTATCACCTTAATACTGATGAAATAATCAAGATTAAGAAAAATAAGAGAGAGAAGGACTGGAGAGTAAAACAAGGGAAAGGAAAATGCATGTGATTAAGACTGGATTCCAATTTCCAAATAATAATTTTTACACGTATACTACCAAGAATACATAAGAAATTATTAAACAGCAATAAGTAGAAATATGAAGCTCTAGTGATTATATATCAGGCCACATGAAACCCTAGCTAGTAATGTGACAAGATTATAAACTTTTAACATTATTTATACATACATACATGTATCCATATGTGTCTGTGTGCGCGCGGACACACATCTTTTATATGCAGCCCAAGACAATTCCTCTTCACTCACTGTGGCCCAATAAGCTGAAAGGTTAGACACACCTGGCCTATGTGTTTGTAGAGAGGCATATATGTTGTTTGTGGGATTTGGGGAGGCTGTTATGATTTTTATGCAAGTTACGTTTATGCATGACTATGTTTCTCTGACCATCCCTTCTCTTTTATCAAATGAATATCTTAAATTTGCTGTCGGGAGGGGTTTTATTCCCTCCCGACAACATATAGGGATTTGGAATTTATTCTATATATTTAGAATAAATTCTCACCACTGCTTTATATTTAGGGAAAAGTTGGGTTTAGAAAAAAAATCATGGTTGAAATGAATTAAGAATTTCTGAAAAAAAGTCTTTGGGGGATTTTTTTAAAAAAACTGCTATAGATTTACACTCTGTATAATGATGTATAAAAACAAACTACGAATGAACTAGAATTCCATATTAGGAAGCAATAAGTCCTGGTGAAAATAAGACAAAATGTATAAACTAGCGTCCAACTATGTTTTCAAATTGTACCGTGTTTCCCCGAAAATAAGACAGGGTCTTATATTCTTTTGACACCCCCAAATATGACCTTGGCCTTATTATCGGGGGGGGGGGTCTTATTATTTTGGGGATGTAGGAAGCGGCAAGCATAGGACTACATGTCCTGTCGCCCCAGTCACCTCCCCTCCCTGTTCTTTGCGCCGGTCAAGAGGCTGGCTGGCACTGCCCTGACATGTCCTGCCACCGTCCTGCGTCGGGTTGGGCTTTCTTCGCAAGGGAGCAATCTGGGGAGTGAGAGATTTAGGAAGCCTGGGTTGGTGTGAGGCGGTTTCTCCAGTGAAGCGTCTGATTCATCCCCAGGGGTGAGCGTTTCACTGCCTTTCTGCCCCGGCTTGGAAGCCACAGAGGAAGACTGCTATGCCCGGCGAGGTGGGGAGAAGAGACAGCAAGAGCAGCCATGTCTTGCTCCATGCCTCTCACTTCTCCCCCACCCCACCTAGCACCCGTCTCGCTAAAGAGACAGCGGGGAAGGGAAGCAGCCAGGATTCTGTTAGCATTGGGGAGGGATGGGAGGTGTTGGGCCGTAAGATGCATGTCCTACCCAAGACTTGCAGCTCTGTCATGTTCCTCGCTGTTTTGTCCAAAGAAGCACCTTGCAAAAAATACCTTATGAGTTCAACTTCCCTGGACAAAACAGTGAAGAACGCGACAGAGCTGCAAGTCTCGGGTTAGACGCTCATCTCACAACCCAACACCTCCCACCCCGCCCCAATGCTAACAGAATCCTGGCTGCTTCGCTTCCCCGCCATCTCTTTAGTAAGAGGGGTGGCAGGTGGAGTGGGGGAGAGGTGAGAGGCATGGAGCGAGACGTGGCTCCTCTTGCTGTCTCTTCTCCACCCCTCCCCCTCTCCGGCCATGGCAGGATTCCTCTACAGATTCCAACCAGGGGAGAGAGGCAGCAAAGAGTGAAATGCTAACCCCTGGGGATGAATCAGACGCTTCACTGGAGAAACTGCCCCACGCCAGCCCAGGCTTCCTAAATCTCTCGCTCCCCAGATTGTCCACTTTGCAAATAAAGCCCAACCCAATGCAAAGGAAGCCTCCAGCCAACTCCTCATCTGGTAAAACTACTCTTTGACAGGATGAACTGCAGGGGTGAGGGAGATTTCCTGTACATTGGCAGCAGCATCTCCTCACAGGACTTCTCCCAATGTCCCAAGTGTGAAGCAATATCCCGTAAAGGAAGGCATGGAAATCCATACAACTGGGATGTCGGAAGAAACCCTGTGAGAAGACACCGCTGCCGATGTGCAGGAAATCTCCCCCGCCCTTCAGGTAGTATGGTGGGCTGGCCGGACAGGAAGCGTCTTCAATAAACTTCACTCTTTGTCTGTATCTCTGCAGACGGCAGTGTTGGCAGCATCTCCTCGCAGGACTCCTTCCTCCTTCTCTCTGGTCTGATTCTCAAATATTTTCAAGCAAAACACTGCCAAGAGAGGGAAGTATTTCTTCCCCTTCCCTCGCCAAACTTTGCATGTAGGCATGATGTTTCACAAAGCTTCTTAATCCTTGGCTGCTGGCTCCCTCACTTTGTGTTTTTTTTATACATACCGACATAACCACCCTACTTGGGGATGCCGTTTCCCTCTCCCAAGACTCCATTTCCAAGGAAAGAAGAGCGCTGGGGCGGCACTGGACTTTCCCCCCATCCTGGCTCCTGTCATCCTCAACTTTGCTCCTGAAACCCTACGGGCCGCTTCTCTGCTTGAGCTCAGCCGAAGGGGAGGCTGAGGGCAAGAGTGAGGTGAAGCTGATGGCTTCCCCTTTGCCTTCTCTCCCAAAAGCAGTCTTTGAGTGCAGCCACTTCTGCAACAGGAGACTCAAGCCAGCCTTCCGAAGGGTAGTGTAGCAGCAGCTATCCACAATTTTTTTACCCTTATTTTGTCCCGATCCATGTTTTTTTATTTAAAAAATTGTGGATAGCTGCTGCTACACTACCCTTCAGAAGGCCGGTGCAAGGCGCATGGGATGCATCGCTTGGTCTCCTGCTGCTTTTGTGGCCGTAATCAATGGCAAAAACAGCCGTACTTGCCGAAGGCCAAGGCCTAAGCAGCACCTGCAAATCAGCTGTTTTGTGAATGGCATCCAGAACAGTTTAGCTGATCCGATTAAGGAGCCGAAAAGCACTAAGGTGACTGGGGAATGGAAGGGCTTCCTCCTGTGCTGGCCACAGCACCCTTTCACTAGGGCTTATTTTCGGGGAGGGCATATATTTATACCCACCCTCAAAATCAGACCTGGCCTTATTATCAGGACATGTCCTATTTTGGGGGAAACAGTACTTTGGTGCTAAAATGCGGTTTGTTTTATGAGATCCAGCTTCAAATAAAGTATAATTAAACAAAACAAATCCTGATATGGTATTCTGGCCTGGGTCATATAGAATATCAAACAAGTCAGAATGGAGACCTTACAGCCACATTTAAGAACAAATCTACTAAATTTGACCAAGACTCTGCAAATTGTAAAGTTTTTTTTCTTAAAAAAACAAACAGGTCCTGACAAATTATGTATGAATATGGATAATATTGTTTGCTTTTAAATATACTTGGATAATCTTGGGCTATAAGATTAATTTAACAATTTGATCTAATACATGCAATGCCTGGGGCACGAGTGCACCAGTCTGGAGTTTAATCTTGATGGGGTTCAGAGCTGACTGCCTTTCATCCTTCCAAGGTTGGTAAAATGAAGACCCAGATTGTTGAGGGTGATATGCTGTCATTATAAACTGCCCAACGTATGCTGAAAAGCACCATAGGGAGGTATATGTCTAAGTGCTATTGCTATACTAAGCCATTTTGTGATTAGGTTTAGCATGTCATTCAAAGACCAATATAGACAACCTTAGCAACAAATATTTGAAGAACTGCCTCGTTCCAATTATATCTACCACCAAAGGGAGAAAGCAGGGTATGTTGTGGGTCCCATCTATCAGAGAAGTACATCTAGTGGGGTCAGGTTGCTGCCAAGAGAGTGTGGGATTGGGGTTTATGGGTTTCTGACTGTGGATTTTAAATTTTATAAGCCACCCAGAATCAGTGTGAGTTAGGCAGCCCGATAAATTTGTTTAATAAATAATTAATTAACCATAATCACAGCTTATTTTTAGTTCACAAATTGTATCTTATAGCTATATGTTTTGTCTGGACTAGGCAAGGTCAACAATATACTGTTGACCCCATCGTGTTGACAAGTTACAAACAGTTTACTTCTCCTTCCAATCTTCTAATATAAACCTGTTTGATAATAAAATCCTGAGGATATAAATAGATATAAATAATATAAATGGACTGATTACTATGAAAACGCAATGAATAATAATAATGAGAATCAAATGAAAACACCATATACTGTAGATACAACTGGGATATACATTATTTTGAAAGATCCCATTAAAAAAAGGAAAAATGCAAGTTTTCATTATCTTACAGAATATCTTCCGACAGCAAGGAACAATCATTAGCATGATAGCTGTAGATGGTGGAGCCGTTGTATTCTAAGAATGGAAGGTTATCTTCCAAGACACTTGGTTGGAATGAATTCTTCTGCTTCATAAAAATGTGAAAGACAACTTGGTTTATAATTTGAATACTATGTAATGACTTGCTAATATTACCATACATCATAATATATTTCTGGTACTCAAGTGATAATTGATTTGAGAGCAATTTTAATATACAAAAAAGATACAAATTTATTTTTAAAGCATATGTGTTTTGGATACTGTTTACACAGATTAGCAATTTAACAAAAAGAATGGATCCATACACATTCTACCAAGAGAAACTTCTTTCTCAATTGCCTTATTTATTAGAAACTGAAGAACACTGTTAAAATATAGCTAATAAAGTCTATCTTGGCTAAAAAAGAAATTCCTAGATCAAATGCCCCTATAAGGACACTTTAAAAATCAATCTGACTACATAATGTTTAAAACCTCCCTACAAAAATTAATAACCCATAATTGGATATAATTTTGGATATTCTTACACCTTGAAAATACAGCATCACGTATTCCCATTTAATGCTATCAAGCTAAAATCAACAGAACCACAAAGAACTAAATTAGCAGTTCTAAAAATTTCCATGCAAATTGGAAATTTGCCTAGAGGACTTGTCTTTTTTCATGCTTTCAGTTATTATAAGAGCCAAGCATATATTCCAATTTTCTACCTTTTTGTCATCTGCAATATTTTCATTGTTTGGTTCTGTCATCCACAGGGGAAGTTTTTTTGTTGGAGAACCCATATTTCTGTCAATTTATTCCTCTGCAAATGCACGTTCTGTAACAAGAGATATTTTATTACTTTTCCTGAAAGCAATAAAAATACCTTAACTGCTAAAAGATACCTGTAAGGTCTTGCCTCTCCAAATCTTCACAAGAAAGCAGGACTCTTGAAACGGAAGTTGTTTCAAAAGAAGCTTTTTTGGGCAAGAACTAAATCTTCCCATTTAAAAAACATCAATTTAAAGCAGTGCAAACAAAACCCCTCCCACAGTACAGCTATACAGGAAACAGAAACTTAATATAGCAATCTCTCCAAGCAAGAAATAGAAACAGAAACATCATATAGAGATCCCTACAATCCTTCCCCCTCCCACCAGAATGCCAGCGTCCGAACAGAAATATATGGGTCCTGACAACACCATTCATAATGATTTGTCTTATTATATATTCATTCATGTTTTCTTATTGTAAATTCATCTTTGGCAAAGGAACACTTGTTGGAGCATTGCCTTTCATTTTCAATAAGCAAGAATGAGAAAAAAATTGAAAGGGTAAGAAAGCAAAGAATGCAGCTATATATAGTAGGTCAATCACCTATTGAATCCAGAATGCTGTGTATGGTATAAAATGCTCTATTTTGAGGGGGGAAAGGGTATTCTGGTTATATTTTTATCCAGCTTTTTTATATATAACTGAAGGCAGCCAATTTACCAAATACTCTTTCCACCTATTTTCCACACAACAGCCGTGTGAGGTGGGTTGGGCTGAGAAACAGTGACTGATCCAGTCACTCAGCCAGCTTTGATGTCCAAGGCAGAGCTAGAACTCATTCTCCTGGTTTCCTGGCCAGTGTGGCTATAAAAAAAAAAGGGGGGGGGTCTTTTCAGAAGAGCCTCTTCTGTTAGTTTTGGTTGAACTGTTGGAAAAAATGTCTTTGTAGGTTCAGTTCCAAGTGGGAGAAAAGACACTGGAATAATGGAGGCTACTTGGAAAGATGGTTTAATGGTGGACAGGATCACATGGCTTGAGCTCCTGAACAGAAAGGGGAATCACATGCTTCAAGATATTGGGTGAAGAAGAAAAGAGGCCGAGATGCTGAAAGTTCCTGGTTTTATGCCCTCTCTGGCCTTTGATCCTGAGCTTGTATTCTGATTGGTTGTCAGACTCCCATGGGGCCATACAGGGGCAACTCTGTAGACTGTGCTTTGAGTCCACATTTGGTTGCCTTGGCTGCTGATGTAATTTTCCCAGGTGCCTTGTGGTGAGTTTCTGTGGAAGGCTAATGCTATCTTTATTATGTAAAGTAGACTAGCTCAGGCTTTAATGGCTCATTGACAAAGATGGGCGGGAGTAAGCTGCAGGGAGCTACTTCATCTTTAAAAATATGTTTCTCCCTTTTCACATCCAGGGAAATATAATATTCTGCCTTTTTAATATTTCCCAGGATATTTCATTTTTCTAGGAGAGGGATGGTTTTTAACTTCCTACAATCCCTCCTTTTTTCCCCCAAAGTTGGGAAAGTTTAAAAATTGATCAGATCAGGGAGACTTGATGAGTGCTTTAATTTTTTTCTGATGCAAAGGGAGAGACATTGATAGAGGCAGCAGAAGAAGGATTCCTTCAGTGGCTCCCAAAAGGAGAGATTTCAACCATGAAGGTCTAGCAGCCAGGGCAAATGTTCTGGAAAGAAATTTACAGTGTCCAATTTTCTATGCCAATTAATTTCAGATGTTAGATATCAATTTCTGCGAGGTTCCAGATAGGTTACCAGCAAGCAGAAGTTTTGAAATTCTTCACAGCCATGGTTTTCATTTAAATTACTGGCTGCCCATTTCCAAGGGATGCTTCTTGAACCTGCCCTAGCTCCTACTTTAGTGAGGCCAAATTGAAGTTAGCCAGTGTGCAATTCAGGCTATTTAGTATTTTTTTTAAAATTACACACAATCAGTCCTGGGACTCCTATTCATGAGACCACCAGCGCAACATATCCTGCTTTATTGGGCAACTGGGCAGCATCATTTGTGAGTCACAGTCAGGGCTTGGGTTTTGGAGACCCTTTCTGCTAGCTCTTCAAGTGGAGGAATTGTCTGAGTGGAACTGCCCCTCCCCCATGGGATTAACAGGGAGATATGGCAGTTTGGCTTTAGTGCCACAGAGCACAAATATAATTCCAACATGAGTACATTAAACTGATTACAATATAAATGAGACAAGAAAGAAAACCTTACAATGAATTTCTGTCAATGAAGCAAAGAAAGAAAACCTTACAATCAATTTCCATCCTCCCCCATAGTCATTACAGCTGTCTTCTGGGGATTGAAAAGAGTCTTTTGGCCTTTACTTGTTCATCTCAGAGTCCTTTCTTTCATGTCTGCTGGGTGGTATTAGACTTGGCTTGGCGGTAAGGCTGGTGAGTCAGGCTTGGGAATGTCTCCTCCACTCTGGCTACTTTCGGTGGAGGACTGGATCCAAACCCAATTCCTGGCTCAAATGGATGGAAGGTGTCCTCTGGAGGCATCCCTCAGCAAAACTCATTTTCTACACAGTTTCCTTGCTTTCTTATTATTCATGTTTTAGTCATTTATCCTGTCACCGGTGAGCTACCCCTTCCCGTGACCCTTTAAATGTAAGGCTCACTTTGGCGTAGTTGTGTGACCCACTGTTAGTTTCACAAAGAAAAAGATTCTGGGAAGGACTCTGATTTCATCATAAAGTATTCAGCCCCTTCCTCGTAGGTAATTCACCCTAGGTTTTCGGATCCAAAAAGGGGATCCGAGAGGACCTGCTGCAGTGAGTACTGATACCTCCTACACTCTTCACACACAATGGGTCTTTGCTTTTTGGCTTTCACAGGACAAAAAACAACAACAAATTTTCTTCCCAGCTGGTTACCTTCTCTCATTCACTTTTCCATCCCATTTTCAATGAAATCTGAAAAGATTTCATTTTTCTAGGAGTGGGGTAGGTTTTAACTTCCTACAGAACAAATACATTGAAAATGACAACCAAGTTCTACTTTGGAATATATATTGTGCAGCTGGAATCAAAACAATATATCTATCACCTGTCACAATCATGTCTGTCACTTAGAAAACAAACCATCACATTCAAAGGAAATTATAAGCATAAGTATAATCTTTATTGTCATTGTACTTAAATACAACGAAATTACAGATCAATATAAGAATTCCCTTTCAAGGAAATATTTATAGAGATGTGGCCTTATTGTAAGGCGATTATATTTGTATTAGTATATAAATATAGAACTAGGTCCCAGAGGATAATAGATAATTTCACATGCAAGTAGCTAACTATCCTAATAGTCGCGCTGGAAGTAAAAGAAACTCACCTCACCCCGAAATTCCCCTCTGCCCAGCGCCATAGGGGGGAAAAAAAGTTCTCTCTCGATCTTTCCCGCCAGACGCACGAAAAAACCGTCACCCATAGCTAACACTTATTCGTCGCAATAAATATACGTCACCAGCCGCCATACTCCTCCTTTCTCCCCCCCCCCGCTTTCTTTCCGGCCGCTGTCAACTGTAAAAGGTGAAATGAGGTGAAGCGCATGCGCATAAAGCTTCCGCGCCAGCCAGCCACCGGCGACGCAGGGCATTCTGGGGGATGTAGTTTATCGTTTTTGGAAGGAAGGTGGGGGGAGACGAGGCGCTTCAAAGTTGGAGGGAGAAAGGGATTCCTGCTCTCAGCCCGCTCGGCACGTTGTTTCTTTTTTCTCGTTTTCTTTGCGGCTGGGGTGGCTGACGTTGGCTGGCGCGCGCCGGAGATGAACCAGCTCCCCGGAGGAGGGCGAAGAATCGAGCGGCAGTAGGACCCGCCCGATCGCGGAGCGCTCATCCCTCTCTCGGAGGCGGCCGCGCGGGGAAGGCGAGCGCTGCAGGAGCCAGGGCGGATAGCGGCCGCGGCTGGTTGAGAAGCAAGTCGGCGAGAGGCAGTGGAAGGGATGGAGTAAGTGTCGGCTCCCCTGCGCTGTGGGGTTTTGTGTGTCCCCCACCCCCACCCCCCTCTGGCTAACCCGCTCCTTCCCCCCCCCCCGCCCCGGCTCAATTGCGTGTCATGGCGCCTGGAGGGGCCGTCGGTGCAATTTGTACGGGCGCCCATAGGGTGTGCGGTGGGGGGGGAGGCACGGGAGGAGAACGGGAGGACTCCCTTAGAATTAGGCTGCCCGTTTATAACGGGGAAGGAGACGCTGTTCAAGGCGAGACGTCTTTTGGCCCGATCGGGCTTTGTGGTGGCGCCAAGGCCCGTTCGGGAAGGTCGGGACTGCCCTGTTTCTTAGGCAGGTCTTGCTTCTCCCCCCCCCCCCCCCCGGCACTTCTCCGCAGCTTGGGCTGGAGCAGAAAAGGCCTGACGTTCAGCAGCTGATGGAGAAAAGGCTTCAGTCTCGAGATCGGGGCTTATCAAGCGAATCCCCAAGCATTGATACCGTGACACGGGATACAGGGTGCTTTTAAAAAAATAATAATAATAATTACCCGGTGAAATAACTCTCCCCTCCCAACAGTTTGACGTTGCTGATGTTAGGGATGTTGCTGATGTTGTAGCAGCAGGCAGGGTGGAAAAGGCTGGTTCTTTTTTTTAAAAAAAATGGATTCTGTGCCTTTAACATCGGCCAGACATTCAGCAATTTAGCACATGATTTTCTACAATAACTCCTCCCCGTTCCATCTCCCCCCCTCTTCTATGTACCAGGCTAAAAAACTAAAGTGTGGGTAAAATAACTTTATTGGGGAAATTAATTATGTGCAGTGAGGCCATTGCCGGGTAAGCAAAATGGATCTCCTGGATGTTTATGGTGTTATGCATCTTTGTTATATATTTGTTATTTTCAGTTGATGGTTAAAGATGGAGAGAGGCAGAGGAGGAGGAGGAGGAAGGAGTGTGGGGGGCTCTGGCCTACACAGGAGCATTTACTCCCAGTCCCAGCAGCAGTATCATTATCCTGCCTCCTCTTCTCAGGCGGGCTGCATGGAAATCCAGGAGCTGGCGTCCAAAAGAGTGGACATCCAAAAAAAGAGATTTTATCTGGACGTGAAGCAAAGTTCCCGAGGCCGTTTTCTGAAGATAGCCGAAGTCTGGATAGGAAGAGGCAGGCAGGACAATATCAGAAAAAGCAAGCTGACTCTATCTTTATCAGTAGCTTCTGAATTGAAAGATTGCCTGGGTGATTTCATAGAACACTATGCCCATTTGGGCTTGAAAAGCAGCCAGAGTCACCGGAATGACCATGCTAATGGCAAAGAACAAGATTCAAGAAGACGGCAACACCATCAACTACCCTCGCCTCCAGCTTCAGTGGGATCTGAGGAACATCTTCACAGCGTCTTAAAAACTGAATATATTGAAAGAGATAATAGGAAATATTACCTAGACCTAAAGGAGAATCAACGTGGACGTTTCTTAAGGATTAGACAAACCTTGATTAGAGGACCTGGCATGATAGGATATTTTGGTCACAGTTTGGGGCAGGAACAGACTATTGTCCTTCCAGCACAGGGAATGATTGAATTCAGGGATGCTTTGGTCCAACTTATTGAAGAATATGGGGAAGGAGACATAGAAGAAAGGAGGAGTGGAGGGGATGATCCTCCTGAACTCCCAGAGGGGACTTCCTTCAGGGTAGACAACAAGAGGTTTTACTTTGATGTGGGATCTAACAGGTATGGTATTTTTTTGAAGGTAAGTGAAGTGAGGCCTCCATACCGTAACACCATAACTGTCCCATACAAAGCATGGACAAGATTTGGAGAAAACTTTATCAAGTATGAAGAGGAAATGAGGAGAATTTACAACGGCCATAAAGAGAAAAGAATGGATATCAGAGGAGACAGTGGAGAAGAACAAGAAGGTCTTGATTAGAATGTTTTTCAATGGGCCAAGAATCAAAGCAGAGAAATGCCAGGAGGTACTGATATGTAATGGCTGGAAGAAGTTGCCTTTCTTTTTGTAGGTTCTTCCCTGTTATTAGATAATTCCAATATATGGGTCTGGTTTTCATGTTAAATTACACCCAGCAACTTCTCTGGTTTCTTATAGGAACAATTAATTACCCTGTGATTCTAATTCTTAACCTCACAAGTTTATCAAATATGTATAATACCACTAACTCTGTTGTAATCTTTAAAGAATATATATAAGATTTGTGTTGCAGTATAACATGATGCAAATAAGCCAGATGGAATTGATGTGTTGTAATAGTAACCAAGAGCATTTATGACCAAAACTGACCTTTAAATTTTAAATGATTGTATTGGGAAAGGTATATTTAACTAAGTAAATCTGCTCGTTACATTATGATAAAATATTTTAAAGGGAGGAAGAATTGGCCAGTGATTAATTTCATCATTGATTAGGTATGGGTACCTAATCATAGGATAACCCAGTAATTTAAGTGACCCTCTCCAAAAGATATATCTATGTTTAATGTTGATCATGTCATCCCTTCTGTATGGACTGTTGACATCTTGTGAGGAGAGCTTATTTGAATAGTACAAATCTCAAAACTATTTTTATATTTGTCCCCACAAGTGGTTCTAGGAAGTTGCTGTGATGTGGGAATTTGGTAGATGAATAATGGTTGGAATTAAAATTCTAAACAGGAAGGTTAAATGTCTACAGTGTGGAAAAACATTAGAATAATTTCTGATTTATCTTCAAAAAATGCTTTGAAAGATTTTGGTGCATCAGTTAGTTGGTATCCTGCAGATCAGATTTCACATTGGTGCAATTGAAATATTCAGTAATAGCTATTGATCTTATTTTGAAATCTTAGCTCTTAAATATTTATTTCAAATTATAATCTGTATTTTAATTTTGCTAAATATTAACCCAGGTTTAAAAATATCAAGAAAATGACTGGAGAAGCCTGTGTTAGGTAGCTAATAGATGATTTATCATGAAACAGAAATGAAATATACATTTGTTTGTTTGGCATCATTTCAGACTTCAATTATCTATATTTAAATGGGAATATAATGAACTGAATACAGTGAAACTAAATACAATATTGCATCAATATGGCAAGGGTTGTGCTGTAAATCCCATTTTAAATTGGAGTTCAGAGTGCCAAAGCTTTTGCTTTTGACCTTGATACTGTGTAAGCTATTTCTATGTTGAAACCTAGTACTCTTTCTTTAAAAGAACTAGATTGGTTGGTTCAGTCTCTATTCATTTCTTTTTCATATCCAGGCGCTCTATTAGCCAAGGAACATTATTTTCTAGTTTCAGTTGTCTTCTTCTTGATATTTCCATTTCAGCACCATTTTAAAACTATGCTGTGACCTACTTTCTCAAGGATTGTTAGTAAAAGTGGAGATCATAGCCTTGAATTTAATTTGGTGTGAAAAGTTGGCCAAATGCTTTTATTTAGAAAAAAAAAGAAAAAAGATTGCACCAAAATCATCAAAGGAACTTTAGAAATGTGTGCTCTAGTTATGACAAAGGAAAAGAAAATTAATTTCACTGTTTTAGGTGATTTACCCAATATTTGGAAATTTGACCTAATGAGTATTTGGCTTTCAGAAATAACTAATAATGTTAATTGCAAACTCAAATCTAGTTTTAATTTTTCAATTACTTAATGGTCTATGGGCCAGAGCAAGTCATGAAAGATTCTAAGTAAATACTGGCATGAAAGTATATGTTCTAAGGTGGAAAATTAGAAGTATAATGTGCTATTGTTGATTTGATAGCAGACTTGTAGTAAATTGTCTAAGTCTAAATTATCATTCTGCTGAATTACTGATGCACATCCCAATGCCTGTAGTAATAGTAATGTCCAGTTATAGAACATGGAATCCATGAATGTATGAATTCCCGATGCTCACATTTTCCCATCTCTTGCCTTTCTATTTTTCCTATTTCATCATATATAACAGGTTTTGTTTAAAAAAAACTCACCAATTGATACATTTTATGGAAACTTTACCTTATCAAATTTAAAAGAAACAAACATATTAATGTTCTATTTTTGGTGTTTGAAGAATGAATTTCTTCTACAGCTTTTGTTTAACAAATAGATAAAATGTTATCTATCACTACAGTAAAAATGTACATTAGTTAATATACTGGCCTGTACAGGTTTGCACTACTTTATCTTGTTTTTGTATTGAGCCAGGTAGTCAGCAGTCCCTGTTTATATGGTTGTGTTCCCCCATCCCAAATTTGTGTATTCCGGTGCCACTAAATAAGGTTCTGTTTTCCTCTGTATATAGGCACACATTGCCATGTTTTTCAAATCAACTAATGACTTAAACACAGATGTGAGCATCTGAGAGGGATTACACATGAGCCTATATATATATATTCATCTTATTATTGGACATAACTGGATGTGTTTATATCTTTAAACCCAAGGATTATATGATCCAATTTATATTGGTAATAGTTGAAATGGTCAATTGGGAAAAAGTTTCTCTTTACATCTGACAGTACATGCACTTCTTTGGAAAGTGGCAATAACATGTTAAAAGCTTGCAGAAGGATCTGTTATGATGTAAAGAAATATTCTTTGCATCCCAAAAATGCCATATCCCTTAAACTTGAGGAAAAAAAACTCTAGCTTATTTGCACTAAAAAAGCGTGGCCAAAAACAATTCTAGGAGGGCAGGGTGGACATAATCAATTTGTACCTCTTGAATTATTTTATGTTAAAGCCCTGACCTCTCTTTTAAAACTGTATGGTCCAGACAGAAAGTCTGTCAGTTTTGTGATTTCGTAATGATGCACTTTATATTTTAAAAATAATAGAAGCACATTTCTGATACTGGTCTGGTACAGTGTGTTTCAGTATAGTATAAAATGGTCTTCTGCATGCATGTCTGTCAGTGATTTGTTACAAGGACTAGATCAAATTACATGGGCATGATCAAGAAGAATAGGCACTACACTACAACGAATTATGAGACATCAAGGGCATGTATTTTTTTAGAATTGTTGAGTCCTGCTCTCTCTAGATTTACATAATCAACATTCCTGAAACTCAAATACTTTAACGTATTTTTAAAGATTCCTGCAGCCTATGTAGTTATTTGTTAAATAACTCTGTCTTATCTTTTAAACTGTTGCTGCATAATTCCTCTCTGACTAAAAGAATTATTTTAGAGATCTAGATTTTTGTGGCAGCTAGGTAAGTTAGTAGGAGGCAATGTGTATGACAGTACTTCAATAATGTAGCCTTTCCCCCAAACTTAAAACATAACATAATATAAAGGCTATTATGACAGACTACCGGTTATTATAAGAAAATTTCCATAGCATAAATCAGAAAATGAAAAATTTGCAGAAGGATTATTTAGATTATTTATGAACTATTTAGGTTCATATATATGGGAAGCAAATATATCAGTGATTCATAGGTACTATTAGTAGTGTACACAATAGTGGCTAGTGTTAACATAGCTTTTTCTTCATGTGTTCTTTTAAAATATCATTCCATTATTTTCTTTTATGCAATAATAATTTCACCTTTAGCATCAGGTAAATAGGAAGTGCTATTAATTCCTTTCCCTGATAAACAAGGAAGAAATTATTATATCATGTTAACAGAAGACAACCTATGTCCCTTGACTTCCTTTTTTGCCGTTGTTGAAGTCTGCTCTGACAAAGATTGTAGAAGATAGAAAATAACATAATTTCTTAACTTTTTCCTCGAAGAAATTTTTGAAAACTGCAATCTAAGCCCTATGTTATTTCACTTATAAAAGTGAAAAGTATTTAGAAGTATATGCCTTCTAAATATGTAGATTTGCAATTCATACGTTAATTATTCTTAGGATAATTCTCCTATATAATTTTAACCTCAACTTATCTGCAAAACATGTCCATGAGAGGGCTGAGAAGGCTTAGTAAACAGACCAGTTTGAACAATCTTTGTCCAGATACTTGCTCAGTTCCAAAAATGAGAAAGAAACTATATACAAGATACAAAGCATGCTTATAGTTGTTTTAGTCATAACATCCCTTTTTCCAATAATTAAAATCACTGCTAGCTGGTCCTCCATATACCTATTCATGCATGTTTTTCTAGATGTATCAGTACCCAACATTGATCTGTATGTGTCATTATACCTGCCTTCATCTAGCAAAAGACAGTGTGAACTTGGTCAGAAGCTTTAATACCTGTTTGTAGAAATGTTGACTGTATTATAAATGTTATAAATGTTATTTGTGTGTATGTGTGTGTATATATATATATGTGTGTGTGTGTATATGTATATATACATACATACACACCCAAGAAGTTTCCACGAAGTTCATATCCTTTAGTTTCAAAAAGGCATGTTTGAAACAGCTGCTATTAAATAAAACTATGAGATTTAGTTCGCTGAGCTATGTGATCTGTTGTTTGAAACTTTGGTGTGTTTTTAAAATACGACAGGATTTTGGTACAAAACATGGAGTCCATAGTCTCAGTGGAACTGAAAAATACAATAGCAAGAAAAAATAAAAGTGGTCTTAAAATAGAAAGAGCAATATGAAGATTGAATATTTGACATTGTACGAAGCATTTGAAGGCTTCACCAAGTGCACTGTCAAAGTATCTCCACAAAGTATTGAAGCAGCTCTTACTGCTTAAAAGACAAAGCAAAATGGCTGTGTCTGCATATGGGAACGTCTTTGAAACAGTCCTGCTGAACTTTCAGCTGCCTTCAGTTTCTAAAACATCAGTTTATTTTGCATATAATGATGGATAAAACAATTTATTTAATGCTTTAATTGCAGAATTAAATTATACTGAAATTTATTTGAAATAAATATAATCTCCAAAAATAAAATAAAATACCCCTCTTTAAATATCCATTTGGAATGGGAATTGTACATGATTATGACAGTGTGTCCTTGGTAGTACAATTGTATTTTCTCACACAAAAAAATAATTAGCGTAGTTCAGGGCTATTAATTAACTTCATTATAAACCATAAATTTGGATAAATGAATATAATTCTGTATTGTTCCATCATACTTTTATGACTGGTTATGTACATAGGATGTAACATTTAAATGTTTTTCATATTTTCTGCTGATAAGTAGAATTACATTAGCAACATCGCTGAAACTTAAATGCTTCGTATTTTTAAAGATTCCTGCAGCCTGTATAGTTTTTGGTTAAATATCTCTGTCATATCTTTTGCAATGTCGCTGTAGAATCCCTTTACTAAAAATATTATTTTGGGGATCTAGATGTTTGTGGCAGCTAGGCAAGTTGGTAGGAAGCAATGTGTATGACTATACTGTAAATAATGTACCCTTCCACACCCCAAAACATAACTTTAAAAGCTATTATAGTTCTATTGAAACTATTAAATGAAATTGTTTTTTTCCATCTCATAATTTGCACCATCATCTCTATTTTATAAATGCATTCAAAATTATAAAATGAAATATGTTAGGTATATCAGACTAGAAATCATGGGGGGGGGGGGGCTGTATGCCAAATTTCTATTTTTCAGAACTGAAAAGTTTCCCATCTAGTAACAGTGTGATTTTGCTAGCTCACTATTCTTTTTAGCTGAAGTGCTCTTAGCTAGAAGATAAGCTTGATTCAAATATAATCATGGGCAGGTTTCTTCCTTCCAATAATTCATAATGTGGTTTGTTTGATTTTGACTTAGTATGATTATGTAGTGAGTCATTATGGTTTATAAATTATGATATAGCTTAGCATTCTTTGATCCTGTGCATTATGGCATATTCAATAAGTTATGGTGAAAATAAATCATGACTTAGTGTATTGTAGACCTAGTCAATATTCCCTGACTTTCAAATCATGATTTAGACTACAATAGGCAACCTGATGATACATTCAGATACCTTGGCTCACAATTCCCATTACTGATTTTGTCCATAATGACTGGAAAAAAGCCGTCTTGGATTAAATTTAAAAATTCAGTGGGATGCTACTTTGTTTATCTTTGATTAATTTGCTTAATATTTAGTTAGTAAAAAGGATTCTAGTAAAAAGGGTTAGTAAATAGCATGTATGTATACTACTATTCTATCATAATGCAGCTTGATTATTCAAAATGCTTATTTCTGGCAAAAAGTATGAGCTTGGTTTGAAGATATGAAATTGTATCTTACTGGATGGGGTAAAAAATTAAATGTAATTTTCCAAAACCAAACCAAGAAACGAAAGAAGTGAGGAAGAAGTACATGGAATATTGATGAGTCAATCTTGTAAATCATTGTTTAAAGCAAAGTGAGATACCTAGTGCCTTTCAGATGCTGTTGAATGCAACTCCTGACAGTCTCAGTCATTTTGGCCAAGAGAAAAGGATGTCGTGAGTTGTTTAGTAATATATGAGGACCATAACTTTATAGGAATTTTAGAGGTTCAGAAATGCTATAGCTTTTCTTACAGATGTCTTAAGCTTAAACTTTAGCCACAAACTAATATTAGTTTAATAATAAAACACCTAATCCTTTAAAACATCTAGCTGGGATTTTTACGAGAAGATGAACTCTAGACATTAACTTCTTCAGTAATAATATATGCCCTTTAAAAATAGTTTCATATACAGATAGTTCTCATTTAGTGATTGCCTTGTTTAGTGCCCATTTGCAGTTAAGACCGTGATGAAAAAAATAACTTCATGACCAATCCCCACATTTATTACCTTTGCAAGTCTGTAAAGCAAAGGGAAACTGAAGTAAGATCATAAACACAGTTGCACTTTCACTTGGGAATTACTTTGCTTAATGACTGAGTTCCCAGTTCTAATTGTAGTCACTAAACAAGGGATACCTGTATTAAATATTCACATTTTTTAAAAAAAAGATGCAAGTACAAATCTTGAGAAAGTATTCATGTTTTTCATGTGAAACCTGAAAAATAACTCCACTTAATAGGCTGAGTTAATTTAGAAATGAAAGATAGGACTTTGTATTAAGTTACAGCCACACAATTATTTAAAAAAATTCTTTGAAACTAAATATTTAGCTTCTCATTTCAATTTCCTTTATTTCAGAAAAAATATTTATTTTAATGAAGCAGCACCAAGTTAAAGAGAACCTGCTTCAGATCCAAAGCATATGACAACCTTGGATTACAGTAGTTTTTGTTTTTAGTGAGGGTTTTTTTTTATTGATAAAATCTGGCCCTGACTTGCTGAGCTGTGGTGATGATGATGCAAAGGCTGAGCCAGGATATTTCATGCTGAGCAGCAGAGGGGGGCCTTAGCAAGAAGGAGCTTTCAGTCAATTCACTGAAGATTTGGGGAGAGAAAAAGCAGCAGGCTATAATCAAAATCAGAGGGAAGGAGAAAACTTTATGAGGGAAAAGCATATGGAAAAGTTGGATCAAAAGAAACAGTGAAGAAAATACCTTAGAAGACCTAGAACTGACAGATGGAAAGAAGATAGAATGAGGGAGTTCTCTTGAAGGAGCAGCAGAGTACGTGGCAAAAAAAAAAACCAACCCCAGAAGTACAGAAGAAGCAGTGACTATAAAAATGATACGGTGATGTTATAATGAAGGAAAGTGGAGGTTTCTTGAAAGAAGATGAAAATAATTTGCCACAATTATTATTTTAGTTCTCTTAAACTAGATAATCTTAGATTGTTCTAAGGAAAAATTAAGCTATATTTGCTCACTCTATGATACGAATTATTAAAGTACCATAAGCATAGTTTAGGATATACTGACCAAAACATGAACATAGTATTGCTTCCAACAGGGAGGCCCTCTCATAATCCATGGCTAATACTCTTAACAAGGAGTAGTTGCTACCCACAATTAAGGTAGAAAGTGACTATTGGTGAATTATTGCTACTTGAAGAATCTTGCAGTGAAAACAGACATTTATAGAAAGGTTTGCTAGGTTATATCTTTTCCTCTCATTTTGCATGTAAACTGATTGCCTTCGGGTAAACTGAGTACATGTTAAGTAGTATCATTACAGTTTCCACATTAGATTTCTTTAATGTGTATTGCAAGGTGCTTTACAGTGGAACACAGAACTAGGAAAGAAGGCTGTTTATTTTTCAGTTCATACTTATTACCAAAGTATAGTATTTATTTTTCAAAAGAGGGTATAAGATTTTACAAATGTAAGTCAGATTCAGTTTCCCCTATTTAATAACTTAATAAGTCTGATAATAGCAAAAGTGCGGAAAATGTCTATTAAGAAAAAGCTGCAAAAATGCAGAAGGCTTAGTGAAAGAGAGAAAATTCATTCCCTTGCTTGGTTGTCAGTACTGTGCCCACACTTTTATTACAATAGAAAGATACTGTGCTTGTCAATAGATAATCAAAATAATTGCAAAGATTGCAAGGTATCTTCTACCTGCATGTTTTAAGACAGCGCTGTTCCTGTAATTGGGGACATAGGACATAGGACTTGGCTGTTCTTGCATCAGAGTTTGCTATACTATCACTTGATTGATCATCTCAAAGCAGCTATATCAGTATCAGATTGTTAAGATACATAGATCAGATTTTATTAGATAAACATCTTAAGGCAGGATAAATTTTCTGAATTTTCAGAATATTCTTAAAGGGAGTTGGTAAACTTGCCAGTTTAAATAAGGCTAAATGTAATAATAAGCATAGATAAAAGCCGGCCTTTATGGAAAAGAAATGAATGAGAGTGTGTGTTAACCCTGTAGCATTGCTGTTTAATCCAAGATATTGGCATAGGCTACTGTGAAACTATGAACATACTTGAATCTTAAGTCATGGCTTTCCAAGGAGAGTATGTTCTTTTACCCGAAGTGCAATACATTTCTAAGAGTTACCAAGCCTGCAAAAGGGATCGTAACCATTCAGTACTTACTTACACTGCAGAAATCTTTGTCACAATAAGCTTTGTTGAGTTTAAATAGAGTGGGCTTGTTGCTCTTCTTAGTAGATTTAACAAATTAATTCACATATACTCTGCAGAAGCAATTGCCCAGTAACAAATTATCCAATTTCAGTTAACAGATGGAAAATTTCCATTTCTGAAAGTTCTCGCCCACAGCAATTCTTCATGAAAATCTTTGTTTATACTTCAAGATAAAATAGCTACAAACCTCTACCAAGATTGGGCCTGTTTTGTTAGAGATGGACTATAATTGAACAATCTCTCCACTCCTTCATTAATTATCTTTCTAGGAAACAGAATACTCTGGCACAAACAAAAAGATTTACACTCATTGCTATTACTGGCATTATTGCAAATATTTTCCCCATCAGAAATCATAGATTTCAGTGTTCTGTGCAGAAATATATATTTTACCAGAAAAAAATTAAAAATGAACTAATATTCTACCAACTAAGCATTGGAAGATGGCAACTTATCCACCAAAAAGAAATAAACATCATGAGCCATAACATCTGACTCCAATATAGATGCTATATTTTACACATAATTCCTCTATTCTATAACAGATTATTGCAAAAAAAGGAGGGAAAATTGTTGGGTGCTGTAATGTGCAGTGTAATTTTAAATTTTAAAATAGAGCACTTGAGCTATGATTATAAAGAGTAGTTACTGTACTACAAAGGTCATTGAAGTATCAAAGCTACAGTGCTACAATATAATGACCTCAATTTTTTCAATGTTTAGGAGAAACTATTATACTTGGCTGATATTCTGCTTGTTCCCAAAGGGAATAATAAAAATGTCAACACAAATTAATACCCAGAAATGACAAGTACATATAATAAGATAACAAAAAAATTAAAATGCCTTGTCCCTATGCACCTCACCTTTGGTTATAGCACAGCCTCCTCCATGCAACATTAGTGGCTGAATGTGTAAATTAAAAAATGTATTTCAGTAGAAAAGCTAGTAAGAATGTGAAAGTTTCACAGTGTTATATTTTCAATAACCATTCACATATTAAATATTTATTTATTTTCAAATAAGACTAGTGCATCATGCCATTTTGTAAAGGAAACCTCAGTCTTTTTAAATATTTCCTTTTGTAGCAGAGCAGGTTTGGTATAAGAAAAAATGATTAAAGTAACCCTTAAATAGAAATTTTAGGAGAAAGTCCGAGAAACTTATTTATTTCTGTAATTTTGACACAGAGAGCCAAGCTTTTGCAATTTGAAAAATATGTGTAAATTATTTTTTAAGGATGTAATTTTACTAGTCTTTATAGACTCACTCTACTTGCAGTGGTCTTACAGTGTGCAGTGTAGGGAGTGGTCATTTTGGATGGAGATATTACAAAATACATAAAAAATTCTTAGGTATTAATTGCTCTACATTTATCCATTAAAATTTGAACAAGTAACCGGTACTCTGTACTATAGAAACAATAGACATGTCTGTTACAATCAGTCTGTTTGCCCATAGAGCAGCTAGATGTTTTTTGTATAGTACTTGGCATTTCTAATAACAGGCCTTCTGTTTTGTTTACATTGTGAAATAACATCCTGATT